AGGATAAAAACCTATTTACTCATAGGATAATTATAGATAAAAAATTATTGACTCAGAGAATGATCATAGATAAATTATAGATATATATATAGATTATAGATAAAAACCTGTTGACTCAGAACATGATTATAGATAAAAACCTATTGACTCGTAGGATGACTATAGATAAAAACCTATGACTCCAAAGATGATTATAGATAAAAACCTATTGACTCAGAAGATGATAATAGATAAAAACCTACTGACTCAGAAGATGATTATAGATAAAAACCTATTGACTCAGAAGATAATTATAGATAAAAACTTATTGACTCAGAGGATGATTATAGATGTTTTTTTTTCTACTGTTCTTGCAATCATGGTCTTGTTAAGTGACTGTTCTCTACTTAACTCAGATTTGTGGCTTATTGGACAATAGCAGCTTTCAGCTTGTCCTGTAGTAGTGTTTTATTTATTTATATTTTTTTTTTTTTTGTAAAAGGAAATATATGATTTACAAATAAAAGAATGACTAATGAGAAAATATTTTTGACTGAAATTAAGTAAGAAAAACAACCCAGTTTGCTTGTAAAACAATTGAAAAATAATGTTAGATGAATTTTATTGTAAGTTTTGAACAAGCTTTGAACAAACAATACACTGCCATTTAAGAAAAATATTTTTTTTTGCAATTTAAATTGGAACAAACAAAAAATGGAATGACAAGTTACGTGTATCATAAAAGTTGTCTACAATTTACTAGCTGATACCTGTGCTGTGTTATCTCAAGAAATATCATGTCTGTCATTTATTTTGACCAGATCCTTTTTTCCCCCATCTTCCAGTGTAATAGCTCATTAAAATGCATGTAAGTTCTAATAGCTCATAAGGATGGAATACTTTTTCTTTATTCCATCTATGCAGCAATCTTATAAGGACACTTTCTTTCCCCACCTACCCTTGATGCACACTCTGTCACTTGTGCTGTAGCCTTGAAAAAAGGCCACACCTCTTGTCTTCAAACACATTTCTATTTTACCTAAGTTGTGTAGAAGAAGGATCCTTTTTTTCTTTTTTGAAGTTAGTTGGCCTGCATCCAGATCATTATGGCTCAATTCTTCTTGTTACTATAGAGCCATATTTGAAGAGGTAATTTCACTATCCCCTGACTGGGTGTTGTATAAGCAGGTCTTTTTTTTATGGAGCCTAAATAATAACTATTCGACCGGCGGCGTAGCTTGCAGGGCTGGCCCCACACTTTCAAAAGACCTGCGCTAATTCTGGGTATAAATTAAACCATTTTATAACTTATAACAGAATTCCTGCAGCCTCATGATTTACCAGGAGCTCCTGGAAATCTCCTGAAAGTGCATAATATATGAAAAATTGTCATTTTGGGTTGTCATTCAAAATGGAATGAAAAAAAAAAACGGCATGCATTACCCGTAGTTGTGGAATCTAGTGAAAGGCTTCTCACGCCTCAAACTAATGAAGAATTACTTGAGGTCAACAATTCTCGTAGATAGATTGAAACATTTGGTAATTCTTGCTATTGAGCGTGATCTATGTAGGAAACAGAATTCTTATGATTTACTGTATGACTTCGCTACACGCAAGGCTCGTGTAGTAATTCTGTGTGTAGTAAAGAATGAATAAAATGCAAAGACGCATATATTTTCTAATACAAACTCTTAATTTTCACTTATTATCCGTATCCCTACCTAAACTTGGCGCCGTGAAACCGTTTCGCATTGGGCCCCACAATGGTTAAGTCTGGCCCTGCTATTTAGTGACGGATGAATACAGGGTAGATTACTTGTTTACTTTCCATGACTTCTTGGTCACAATGGTTAAGTCCAGCCCTGCTATTTAGTGATGGGTGAATACTACTTGTTCTCCCCCCCCCCCCTCTTTTTTTTTTCGTCGGGTAATTCTAGTCCGTCCGACTTGCAGAAATCAAAGAGTGATCTTTCCTTTATGTCAGGCATGTCAAACACGGCGTTCGGGGCCGCATGCGGCCCGTGACCACTTTGCGTGCGGCCCGCTTAGCCACCTAAAAATTTTCAAAATAATGTTAAACTGTTACGCTGGAAAATAAGACATGATAAGCTACTTGAATTGAAAAATAGTTTTTGTTAAACTGAACAACGAGAGTGAGTCTGCAGTGAAAGAAATTTAAAGTACATTTTGACATTAATTACAAGCCATAGCAAATCCTTTAGTGAGTATGATTTTATGAAGTGGTGTGTCGTTAAAGCTGCAGAAGTAATTTGTCTAGAAAAGGTGTAAGCATTCACAGAAATAGCTTTAACTAGGAACACTGGCATATAGAATAAATGACATGTCAGTCAGATTGCGTGAACAATTAAAGATTTTGAATTATTTTCATTGGCTCTCCATGAGTCAACTGATGTAACGTGTGTAGTATAGTTGGCTATTTCATAAGGGCCTGTGACAGGAATTTTGAGATCCACGAGGAGCTACTTGAGCTCTATTCTATGCATAACACCACAACAAGCAAGGTTGTTTTTGAGAAATTAGAGTAGGGGATATTGCAGTACAATTTATCTTTGGTAAAGCTATCTAGTTTGACAACGGATGGAGCACCAACCATGAAATGAAATGGTTTTGATGCAAAGCTACTGGCAAAAAATAAGAGAGACTGATGCAAAGTTTAAATTTTCTCATTTTCACTGCATTTTCAGAAACAATTAAAGTTCCAACATGTCATAAGACCGGTTTCAGTCGCTCTCAATTTTATTTGTGCCTGTAGTTTAAATCAAATTTTCGATGTTTCTGGATGGCATTGGACACGAATTTGATTGCGTTCCGCTGGCTCTCATGTCATAAAGTATTGAAGAGATTTTGTGCACTGCGTGAGGTAATTGTATTGTTTCTGAACATAAAAGGTAAACATGTTGAACATTTTCAAACTGATTAATAGGTTCGGGATTTGGCATTGGCAGTTGATCTCACTGGTCACCTGCTAGACTTGAATTTGAAACTTCAAAGTGAATACAAAATTGTCACAACTGCGTGTAATCATGTGAAGTGCTTACAAGCAAAATTAAGACTGTGGATAAACGAAATATGAAGATGAAATCTTGTTCACTTCTCAACGCGTCAGGAACTAAAAAGATTAAATACGGCTACAACATTTGGTAAATATGTCTTACACCTGGAATCGTTATAGATGCTTTCAATGACCGTTTTCGTGACTTAGTTTCATACGAGCAAAAATGTTCGTTGTTTGTATCTCCATTCTCATTTGATTCTGAAATTACTGCTGGTAATATGCTACTAGAGCTAATAAAAAAGCAGTCAGATTCTTTGTTGAAATCGTAGTATATAGAATTAGCTTTGCCAAAATTTACAGTTATTTACCCTGAATGAAAGCACTTATCTCTGTGAGCAGCTCTTTACCATAATGAAAGCTACAAAAGCACCTTACCGATCGAGATTATCTCATCAATATTTGTCGACAGTAATGAAAGTATCAGTGGAAAACAAACTTCAACATGACATAAATAAACTTGTATCCTATAGAAGATGTCAAGCATCAGGACAAAGTAAAAAAATGCGTAATCATATTAACTTTTAATTACCAAATGGTACTACAAATTTAGCTAATTAAGGGACAGGAATGCCATTAATTATTGTATTCTATTGTATTGTTTCTAATTTACATAAAACTAGTAATCTGTTTTGCAACTGATTTTTGGCTGCGGCCCCTCAGGTCATAGTAAGTTTTTATGCGGCCCATACACCTAAATGAGTTTGACATGTCTGCTTTATGTGGTGTCCAAACTCTTGAGCCATGAAGAGAATTATAAATATAGATAGGAATAATTGCATTGCATGTGAGTGGAGGTCTATTAATATTGGCTAATTTTATAATCAACATTTGAAAGGTTCTTTACAGTTTATAAAAGTTTTGAAAAGTCTACATAAAAAATTAATGCAGTTTTGAGTCATGCAAGATTAGATTGCCAGATGAACATGAATAGGGGGTAAAGTATCTTCTTTTTTAATGGATTGTCTGTACTTTGTAAGATAACTACTCAGTAGATGTAAATGATATTGGCCCTATACTCCCCCCCGCCACACACATAACTAAATATAGTTAAGTATTTTAAGTTGAATAATTTCAGACTTTGAAATCTATTGAGCAGATAGTATTCTGTTGAGCAGATAGTATTCTGTTTCTATGGCCAGCAACCTTTAACCAACTAATGTCATGCATGGGTGAACTCAGAGGACTTCTAAATATCTAGAAATTCAAAACCGCAGTCTTCATTGCGATTTGATCTCAATACACTTAGTTCCAAAGCCATGCCATTTACCCACAGCGCCCCCTAATTAAATATAATTTAAATAAATTATTTACATTATCAGACATTAAACCCTTTGTAAAAACTTTTAGAAAAAACAAACAAAACTAATATAAAGTGTAATGGTATCACTTTGTTTGGATCAATCATGTAATTAAATTTGTAATAGATCTAGAAAAACAATTCTGTGCAATTAGAAATTTTTTTACCATAGGTTTTTATCTAGCATAATTCCATGCTTTTAGCATGCTCAATGCACTATGGTCTAATCACTTCAAGTTGTACTACTTGAATTTGAACTCAAGTTGATACATTAACCACTGAGCCAGCACAGTATTTATGAAAATATAAAGCTTTATAGTTATCAATTGTTAGTTTTTAACTATTACATAATGACATAATTCTCTACACATAGGATAAAGGGGGCTAATTCAACTACACATTTGTTATGTACCAATTCTTCCCATTGTTCGACACTAAACAAAATAATAAATTATCAATAATTAATAAACTAATTTTTGTTTTTTTATTGATTAATTTTTATCAATTTTTATCATCGACAATGAATAATTGCACATTTTCAACTTGACTTTAGAATGAGAAGATTGAAAAATAGCATGTACAAAAATTGTACCACACAGACAGAGTTGATATAAGCTTTTTAAAAAAAAGAAACAAAGAACAGTAACATCCATTGCAGATAGACTTTTATTTCACTTCCAGACAGTGTACATGTTATTGATGACTGGGCTCTGCACTACACTCAATAGTAGGACTTCTCAGAATAACAATGAAACATAAAATATTTTAAGTATTTACTTCTAGAGAGAACTGACACAAAACATGTGTAGTAGATTATTGTGGAACAAGAAAAACTTTTGTAGTTTTTAAATCTTCCAAAAGTCGATTTTCTTTTTTGTTTTTGTTTAAATATTTGGATGTCCAGAGCTGAAACAAAAAAGTTTGATGAAGGCAATACATATATATATGAAGACATTCACAAAAAAGATATCAATTTATTGAGTTCTGCTCACAATGTACAATATCACATCAGTTTGAGAGGGAACAGAATTTGAAAAAAAAAACAACAAAAAAACAACATAAACTTTTTTTTTAAAGGTTTTGAGGGTGGGATCACAGCTAACTCACAAAATGCACGAGGAAGAAAAATATAGATCAGTTGATATTTGAATATTATCACTCTAGAACAATAGCCACAAATCTAATGGGATTGCACAATTGTATTTTTTTAAATTATAATTTTACAATATTATATTTAAGTAGCCAAATTTTGAGTTCAGCCACTTATTCTGCCCCCCCCCCCCCCTCCTTGCTCCTCATTATTTATTCATATTGTGCCAATGTGAGTTTGACTAGCCATGGTTTGGTGGGAAAAAAATTGTTACTAAGTAAAAATTTGTCAATTTCGTATTGCAATAAATATTCAGCATATCACAACTTATAATGCGACAAAAAAAAAAAAAAACAAAAAAAAAATGGATGTATTCTACATTAAACTAAATTCAAAGGTAACTGATAGTTTTGGACATGTTTTAAATAATTTAATTTTTGTTTTAACATGATAGAAAGTTGAAATTCAAAAATGAAATAAAAATACTTTTCTATATGATCTATAATATATAGCTAAAATTTCTAATTCCTTTGGGTGTTTTCAATAAAAACACTAATTTCAAATATGACATTTTATTTTGTGATTAAAATTAATTTGATAACATTAATAGCATTTTTTGATTAGCCTAATAATGCACAGCTCTATTATAAATCTAAACATTTTCAAAGTAATAAATTTTTATATATTTTACTTTAATATAAGGACAAAAACTTTCAAGAGTTGGTTAGTTATTAAAACTTCATAAACATAATAATAGATTACACACAAAAATGAACAAATTAACTGGATGTCAAAACTCCTGAACCCCCCCCCCCCCCCCCCCCCCCAAAAAAAGAGGAAAAAAACAAATACTAGTATTTTGTAATTATCATTCACAGCATTGAAGATGAATTAATTTTGTTGACAAACTCAAGACATTAACTGCGATCCAGATAACAACCTGACTTCATGACTTCCGTTGACTGTTACACATTTAAAGAGGTGGCTGGTTAAACGGTCATACACTTGTAGATTTTGTTCTGAGGTTGATTGTACTGTTGTTGGTTCTGACTTCCTACTGTGGAAGTGCCTTTAAAATAGCATGTACCTCTTCTGCCACAGCAGCAAGGGAGAACTGGAATTGTTCCTTTCAAATATAAAAAAAAAAAGAATGGAAATACTAATCATATTATCTAACGTTATTTTTTTCTTTTCTTATTTTTTTTCAAAATTTCATCTTTAATTTTGGTATTCATAGGTTTTACCAATCTTTAAGTCTGTTGAACTATTAGGGCACCACACATGTCAACTGTCTTTCTATATTCTAAGTCTTCATTACAATTAAACAATTTTAAGCAATTATATCTTATTTAGGTGTACTTTAAAAAAAAAATATTAGGTAAAAGGTAAAAAAAAAAAATACTAAAGATGCCATACTCAAGATTAATTTTTTTACTTGTTTAAAGAACAGTATTGTTTTAAAGTGGTTTGAAAAAAAAACAGCAGGCAATTATGAAAAAAAGGTATCAGAACTATACCTTTGTTTTAACCATAGACATACGCTGATCTCTGATGTGTTCAAGAGTGGCAGCCATATCTATTTCTTTTGCACCTATAAAAGATAAATAATAAATAATAGCAATTAAAAATTTTAATGATATTTTAGAAAACAGCTAACTTTATAATTAATTAATTATAATTAACTCAAAATTACAGAAAAAAAAAAAGAAGGGAAGGAAAAATGACTTATACCTTTGGCCATCTTATTTAGAACCATGTCAATAAGACAATATGTTCCAGAACGACCACATCCATCGCTAGATAAAAATAGATAAGAATGACAGAAATCAATTGAATGTGGAAAATTGCTTGATTTTCAAATCTACTGATTAAAAAAGAAAACCTAAAATAAGCTTCAAGGCCTTTAAGGACTGACCTGCAGTGAACAGCGATAGGGCATGACCTTCCACGGAATGATTTGTTAACTTTACTGTAATAGACACGAGTTTAAACATAGAGTTACAAAGATATTTTCTTACTCAGCATTATGATATTACTATTTGATTATGACTAGAAATACAGAATTTCAATGAATGCTGTCATTTAACAAAAACAAAACAATGAAGATAAAACTCCACTAACATTATTGTACTGCATAAAAAACTATACTTTTATGATTTTGAAAATAAATTAATTACCAAAATTAATCTAGATACTGGTCATAATAAACACATTTAACATGTTGGGCAAAACCTATATATGTAACAGTTTTACTAACAGTTTAAAAAAAAAAAAAAGCTCTAGTGTGCCTTTAAGATGTTAAATATTTAAAACTGTCACAAAATCTAACTAAAAAATCAACAGCTCAACAAAATTGAGTTGAAAGAAATAAAAAAGAAACCTTATTTGTGATGTTAATGTGGTATTAATGTGACTGAGTAATGGGACAGACTGTCAATAATCAAGGGGCTGGGTTATGATCTAGGTTAATGAAGTGTATAATTAATTGAAAAGTGTAATTGTTGAAAAAAAAGGAAGAATAACAATCTATAGTTTCTACTTAAAATTTGGTAAAGATTTAATTAAAAGATTTAATTAATTGGATGTAAAAAGCAAAATAACTCTAAGCTTATAAAACATAGACTAATATTAATAAAAAATTTGTATAAACACTACAAAGCCTTTCAAAATCATTTTCTAAAGTACTTATAATGTCAAGTTAATAAAAAAACAATACAAAACCAATTAGGCCCTATCAACTATGCCAATAAATGATTTAAAACATTTTTATCAAATATAGTTAGGCTGAGCATTGGTAACATACAATCTATCCATTACTATACTGTACCATTTGTCTTCTTAGTACTGTAAAATTTTATTATTTCTTTAATGATTCTAATAAACTGAACGTCAACTTGCGTAAAAACTACAAAGTGATGAAAAGAAGAGGCAAAAGCATTGCTCATTATTTAGCTACCTAACCCATCACCAGTGAGCAGTTAGTGTAGTGGAAGCATGCAGTCCCGATCACTTTTGTGACTATGCAATTTGCCCACCGTACAATTGCTAAATCACAAAAGCTGCCAGGAAAAGCAGCAGTTAGTTGGCAAGATGGAGAACAGAAATTAGTAAGCTAGTTCAATTTCAACATGAAGATAAATACACACAATAATATATAATCATTTAAAAAAAAAGACAAAAGATCATGTGAGTTTTGAAATGGTTAGAAGCTATTTAGATTTACAAAGAATTGACATCATAGTTTGTATTATCAAAAAAATACATTAAAAAAGAAAGAAGTTTAATTATTTTACTGTATTTCAAAATTTTATATTATTCTTTCAAATTAAAACTCTATAAAATTAACTTTATTTTGTTGGATAAAAACATAAAAAATTTAATTTGAAACTTGAAAAAAAAATAGGGGGGGTGTGTGTGTGTGTGAAAGAAGAAATGTGCTAAAAGGGGGGATAATACATGTGCTGAAGAAATGAAAATGTGTCAAAACTTAAGCACTTTGTTCTAATAACTCTTGTTGCATTTTAAATCAACATTAGCCATTCCAATTCAGCCAGTAATTATTGGCATTAAAAAGCATTTTGTTAGTATCCGATGTTTTACATTTTTATTTTGGCAACTGTATTAAATTTTTATAAATTTATCTGGCAACTTTGCTTTTCAACTACTCCTAAAATATTACATAATTAGCATTTTGTTGCACCGCAATATAACAGATATATCATTTATCATTATTAAATTCACAGTAAATCTTAAAACTGTTAGATAATCTCAGACTACCAAGAACTACTAAAGGTTAAACTGAACATGCTCTCTAACACATTGTTAGTCTTTGTTTCCTAATACAAGTTATTTATGTACAGATGTTCTCAACAGAAATAAGCAGACTAGATGTAGGAATAAATGATTCAATGCTGATCAATAACCACAGTGTTGATGAATCAAGGAAATCATGAACTCAACACAAGGTAGAAGAACAGTAAATCGGAAGATGTACACATCTGGCACAGCTAGCATCATAAATCACATTATGTTGTATTGATTTCTATCAGTTATATATGACTTTATGTTGGCCTTCCTTGTTAATCAGAACTTCATTTTCAAACTTATAGTTTGTATATAAATGATACAAAGATTTAATTATGAAAATATTACTGTTTTCATAGTGGGAAAAAAATCAGTTACAAAATAAAAAACAGTATTTGTCCACCATATTAAAGAAAAGAAAAAAAAAAGCTAAATCTATTTGAAATGCATTATTATAATAATGTTTATAAAAAAACTCTAAGTGCATTCTATAAGACTACTTCCTAGTGTGCAACATTTCTTGAAGGAAAGACTATTTAAAGGTACAAACCGTCTGAAATCAAGCAGAGCCTTGATAGAAGCAGGTACAGACAACTCAGGCCAAGTAAGGAAGTGGAATTGGGTAACAGTTCTTGTCTCATTGGTTTGCAGGTTCTTGAGATAGAAGCTTCTTACCAAATAATCATCACACCATATGTGCTCAGAAACTAGATGCACCTGAATATAATAGTTACATTTATCTAAGTCTTTATAGACTATTTTTTTATAAGTCTGTTATTCATATACTTTTAATATATAGAAATCATGCTTTAATTGACTAATTCTAGTATCTGCTTCACAGTTCTGTCAACTTTAAAAAAAAAATCTAATCATTATCAGATGATGTACAAATTATTTAAAATTCATTTTATTGTTTCAAAACTATAGAGATTAATTTTATAACTTTTTTACATAGGGTATTTGAAAATTCTAATTTTAGATATCCTTATTGTTTATATGCTTTAATGACTTCAATTGCTTTACTTTTCTTAACTAAAGTTGAAAATGTGTGGGGAGCATGTTTTAAAAATTCAAAACCTGAAAAGTTAAACAAAAACAAAGAAAAAAAAGAAAAAGAAAGAGAAAGTGCTTCTCACACTCCTTGTTTGTATGTATAGAAAATGACTGGCTCTTAGATGAAATAATCTTTTTATCAAGCTGATAAGTGGCAATAAAAAACATTAAAGAAAATTAAGATAAATTAAAGCCAATTCATTATTAAAAATGATATAATTGATTAAACTTAATAAAATCTCTAAAATTTTAATGATTACATATTTAGAAAGTACAATACAGTATGCTTTTTTTTAAAGTTGTAAAAATACTTTTATGGTTTGTTATGTAAAATATTGA